TCAATGACAAAAATAAACTCTTAAGCCTGTCCCCGATTAATTTAATTAAACATTGTCTTACCACTCTGCCAAGGTCCAGACCCTCTCCTGAGCCACACCACAGAAACACAAATGACCTTGGGGCTGCAATCTCTTCAATTTCCAGCTTCATGATCTAAAAAATAAAAGAAAGTGTTTCTGAATGAAACACTGTGGGGAAGACACACATACAAAAACATCCTTATTCCTATTACTGTATAGGAAAGACTCTCTCCATTTCCTCTTTAGGGAAAAAGTTGTAAGACTTATTCAAGACAGTGGTTCAACACTGACAAATGAGTAACATTCAGAGTGAAATAACTTCAGATGCAAAGCATCTGTTACTCATTACAAGTTGAAGAGATTCATCTGTGACTTGGTTACACATCAAATCAAGCTTCATTCAGTGCCACTGTGAAAAAAAAAACAAAGCAGCAGAATTCATTCTAAGACTGTACAGAACACTGAGTCTTCAGACTCCTTACTCAAACACTTCCAATTTTTCCTGTTAGGACAGAACATGTTTCCTCCCCCCCGAGACAACACTGCCAAGCACTACTCTGGCGTGATGTAACGCAGCATGGCTAACATGGAAGTTAACTACAAATTCCTATCTATCTCTAACAGGTAGGTTACCTAATCTCTTATCAGAGGCATGAATTCACATTTAGAGATAGAATACATTTTACTTGTTCTCACGATTCTTTTGGTTGGCTCAGGCACTTCTGGAGCTATGTATTTGCAAGTTCCAGCTGAGCAGACAAGCTAAATCTAATTCAAAGTAACCCCTCCAAATTGCATAGAACAGAAATGAGGTAAGTCGCAGTAACAACTGCTTCAGTCTAATGATTTGCTCCTACTATTATGAATTAGCTGCTAACGCAGACATCATCCGACATACCTGTCAGATATGGTTTCTAAATAAAAGGTATTTATTAACTTCATACTCCCACTCATACTCCTGGATCTAAGAATTTATGACATGATTACTCTAACACTTTTTTGATCACCTGAAAGAGATTGTCTATTTAAGGGGGGGGGGAGGTGATAGATAGAACACAGACACGCAGAGCAAGGCTAGTTTATCATCATCCAACATTACTACTACAAGTTTTTATTCAATGCCTAAGTGCAGAATACTCTGCTAATACATGAGAAATACTACTCTGAGATCATTCTTGAAGGACAGAGCACCTGGGAAACCTGCTTTGTGTAGTCAATTTATTGTGCTTGATGACACCCAGCACTTCACAGGACATAGCCGCTAAACCTCATTTTGTTTTTCCAGAGTTGACTTATTCGAAAAGGTAAAGATATCGAATTGAGTCACTTGTCAATAGATTTTGATTTCTTCTTCACAAAAATCTACATGCGTCACTAGACGAAGAACTTAATTCTTTCTGTAACTCAGTTCTCCAAACATTTACTAGAATATAGTAATACAGAAGCACCAACTGTGATCTTGAAAAGATCACGTTTTCACATTAATATTTCCTTCTATTCCTCAAAAAGGGGTCAGAAATCAAGACAGCTTGAAAAAGCTTTGAGATGACCAAGCAGAAAGGAAAAATGTAAATATAAGAAAAATTCCACAAGAAAGAGGAATCTAGTCAGGCTTCTCAGGAGTAAAATTGGTTTGGTAGTTAAATTTCAATGCCTAATTAATACTTTGGAGAAAGAAGGTATGTCAGAGATGCATATTCATCTATGCTTTTGACTAAAGACCAAAGTATTAAAAAGTGTATCTTGGAAGCCTCTTCAAAAATTTCAAGAAATCAGAGAAAGTTTACAATGAATGAATTCCAAATTTCAAAAGCAGAAAAAACAAACGGGGGGGAAAAAAAAACACATACACAGAACTTGGAATAGTAGTAGGCTTTTGCCCTACCCCCATTTAAGTTTTTAGCAGGCTCAGGGAGAGAAAAGGGGTATACCTTAATTCATTAAATCTTAAAAAAAAAAAAAACAAGCAAACAAAAAAACCCAACACTCTCATCACAAATGGTGCAGGCATAAAATATAAAACTAGGTTTCTATATGTGTAAGACTTCTGTTTTTGCATAACCCATTTTTCCCTAAACACATCCTATAAAGTATTTTGCTACCAAATTAAGTCCTCGAGCCAGTCATGTAGGTATGCGTATGATATCTTTCACAGTTAGAAAAAGACTTACATCATCCCAGGTCCAGCATTTTTCATTGGCAGTAATGCCAGTTTCTCTGTAGTATTCTTCCAGCGGTGGCTCCAGAAGAATCACATCAAATTTGGACTTCAGTTCCCTAATATCAAAAGCTTCCAAGTCTGCTTGTAAGTACCTATTTAAACAAAAGATGACAAATTACTTGGAGAAAGTATAATAGTTGTTTGAAAATTATACTCCACACAGCACTTGTGTACCCAGTTAAGAATAAGGTCTCCTGTGTAGTTTATATAGCTTAAATATACTAAATCCAGGAAAGACATATTAAGTAGCCTAAACAAGATACTAGCGAATTAGACTTAAAAGTCTTCCTTTCAAGAAACAATGTTTAAGATTCTTCTTTAGCAAGCAGGAAGCAGATATCCAGACAACATACTGTACAGCAATATCTAGTACAGAATCATTGGACTTTTTATACACCCACAGACTATAAGCAGAACACATCAACATTTAAGAAGAGAACAGTCAATGCCTGGCAAACAGACTTCTATTTTGCTTTGCCTAGGGAAAGTAGCTTATTTTTAGAATTGCCACTTACTATATATTGTTTAGGCTCAAAAGATTGAGCACTGGGAATGTAGTTATTTTCCACAAAGCAGAAACATGTTTCTCCCCTCTTATAGCCAAAGCATAACCCCTAACTCATTGATCTCATTAAATACTCATATGCACTCTTATACTTGGCATTCACATCTGCCTAGCAGTCACTGTTGTATCACTATCAAAAATGACTCCCCATAATACCTTTAGCCTTACTAAATTTGATTTGCAGAAAAAACTCCCTTCCTAACAGTGTGTCTGGAAGAGATTATTCCATAAGTGTATTTGATGTTATCAGAAGACAGCATTTGATAACTTTTTCACTTTTGTGCACTAACTACATTAAAAACAAACCCCCCCCCCAAAACAGAAAACCCTATACAACTAAGTTCAAAATACAAGCTAAGTTTTGCAGTTTGTACCTCAATCTGGTTAATGGATCCTAAGATGAAAACTGAACATTATACAAAACGTTTCTGCAAGAATTATTCCAGGTCATATTAAGAGACCGATTTTTTTTTTTTGTTAAGGGTTTCCTTGTTATTGTAAACTGCAGGATATCATGAGACTCATGATCATTTCACATGTTTCTTTTGGTTCCCAGATTAAAGCTTGTAGCTCAGTCAGCTGACAGCTCGGTCTTAAAAACCAAAGCTTTGCATAGTATAAATAATCACACACTGGAAAGAAAATCTAGTTTGCATACTATATTAAACATCTAGATTAAGCTAGCTAAAATGAACAGATTTTATTCTTCTGAAGTTTCAATTAATTAATTTGTGTATACAAGCAAAAATAGAAAATGTAAATTCCGAACAGGTGCTAAAGATAAAGAGATTTGCAAAACAGACAGCTAACTTCAAACCAGTCTGGAGGAGAAAGGCATTTCCACAAGAACACTTACATGGGAGGAGTGTTAGATTTAGATATCAGCTCATCCTTCAATCTGATGAGCTCTCTAAGTTTTGGATATTCTTCAAACCTATCCGCTAAGCCTAAGAAGAAGAAAATATGAAGTTAACAACTACTCAGAGAGTAAGTCTTTATCAATTAAGAGCATTCTCCAGTACTCTGAATAGGCCCAATGTATACTCAGCCTCATTTCATTTTTGTTAGAACAGATCAACCCCTTCAAAGCACTTTCTTTGTTCAGCAGTTTACAAAAGCCTCCTGCCTCCATCCGGCATCCGTTAGTCGCTCTCTTACTTCAGTTCGTAATTCTGAACTCCCACCTCTAGCACTGCATCTAACCTTATTATCATCACAGTTGCTTGTGTATAATGAAAACAAGAGTTATATTCATTTTCCTCAAATACCTAACAAAAAAAAAAATCCCATGTTTTTCTGACTTCCACTGCTGTGTTGCTTCCAACCAGTGCCAGAAGAACAAGATGGAGAAAGAGTCAAATACCCCTGACTAGCAGAAATAGAAGCCAATTATGGTCAGTATCTGACAGATGCAAAAGAATTTTCAGAGAAAGATGACTTGCGTCGTTAAAAAGAAGGGCATTTCTCTTTCTCTCTTTCAACAGCAACACCAGAAAGAAACAACTGGGTATCACGGAACCACTACCACCACCCTGTTAAGATTGGTAGGGAGTTCAATTACACAGTAGCACCTACTTTTTGATCTTCACGCACATTTAATATTTAGCTAGCCAGTACGCAACTTCATGTACCTCATCTCTAATAAACCGTCTAGACTAACTGCTGCAGCCACATTCATTTCCACATCAACACTTCTTTCACAAGCTGACCAGCCCCTTGCCCGTTTTATACGGTAAAGAACTCGGAGTAAATAACATGGGCAAACGTTTACTCTCTTCATACTCATCTTATTTCAGAGACCAATGTATACACATTTCAGGTGCGTAACTGTGAGGCCAAGATGCTTTTAGATAAAGACATAACTGAGTCAAAATGTCAACGTTCTGATACTAAAGACCAGGATGCACTTTACAGACGCATTCACAAAACAGAAGAAAAGCTATTATTACCCCATTAGAGAGACACACAGAACCTCTTTGGGCTGGCACCTATGAACAGTCACCTGTCTCAGTTCTTACCCTGACAGTCTTAAACTTGATAAAAAACAAGCAGAATACATACTGCATAAAATTTTGAAGAGGGAGGTGTCCTGCTTTGTTTTAAACAAAATAGCTAGCTACTAGGAACCCATTTGGGAAGGCAGAACCAAGTAATACCTTAATTTTAGACACATTAAATTCAGGCCTAATAAAGTAAGATTTCAAGAACAAGTTCAGTGATGGCTGGGTGAAAGTAAAAATACAAAAATCAAGAAGTAACATCCTCTAAACTCAATAATAGCTTTGGCCTTCTAGTGAGTTGTCTGCACTTACATACTTAAGCTGGTAAGTATTACCTATATTGCCTACATACTTAAGCATTACCCACATTTTTACACACTACATGAGTTCTCAGAGGCAAAGCAGTCCAGGAAACAACTGAACTATACGTCAGTCATTTAAATTTCCACAGGTTTCAAGGTCTGTTCACTACACTCATCTGCCTTCTGGAACAAGAGCAGCTTAGTCTTGAAAACCTTTTCCGGCTTAAATACTTTCAAATAAAACCAAAGATAACCTTGGTAACACTCACCCTCTAACTGAATTAGTATACAGCATAACATTCATATAAATTTACACGTTGGTATGTACACACACACACAGAGACAAAACTATGGAGTGTATGTGCATAAGACAATGCATATCTACATCTTCCAATTACTGTGAGGAAGAAAGGAGGGGAAGAAAAAGCAGTGCAGTTGCATAAAACGAGGTACCTCCAATCTGTTACTGACTATGACATACCTACATCTCTGATGAAGTTCTGGGGTCTGTGTCCCGTATCCACAAAGTGCTGGCAGTAATCATTGTGTGGATTTAAGCTCTGAGTCCCCTAGAGAACGAAAGGAGTTGAGTGAGAGCAAAGGCGGAATATCTAGACACACATATACATTACTTCGGTTAGTCTGACACCCCACCCCACCCCAACATGCCTTTATAAGCTAAAAAAGGAGACAGTCATCGTATTTTTAGTTCCAAACCAGGCTCATCATTATTACGGCTCATTGTAGGTCAACCTAGAACAGACAGACTATTTATATAAACTTTTAAAATCAGATCAATATAAACATTAGTTACTGTCATATCTTTCACAGAAAAATTCCATACCTGCAAATCCCAGTTAAGAATTTCAGCCCTTAAGGTCATATTCCAAATATCATCAACTGCAGAAACAGTTTAACACAACTGCACAATCTTTGACCGGACTTCTCATTGCAGGCATAGCTTACCTTAAGAAAGGTACTTGAATCTTTGTAAATCTCTTCTTCATAGGGTAGGTTCTCTTCGTCCTGCTGTAGCTCTACTTCATCCTCGGGAATAAAGCAGATTTTATAGGTACGTAGGATCATGTTCTTTCTCTCCTATTATTCTACTTCTTAATGAAGGAAGACGTGAGCTGTCTACGAACATAAGCCTCCCCAAACAGCAGATCCTGAAAAGTTCCAACTCCACTTTTGGAGAGAAAAAGAAATATGCATCTGACCTGTTGCCAAAAAGGTTTCTCGCTCTCTCATCAGAGAGAGAGTTACTGAAGAAACAGCCTTACTCAAGTTATTTAGAAGAAAAAAATAATAATTTTTAAAAGAAAAATGAAGGAGCGTAAATAAGGAGTTCTTCCCTTTCCTGTTTCTCAAAAGGATATTCATTATCTCAGACGGTTAACACTACTAAAAATACACCATGAACATCAAACTGACATATGATAAATTGGGATGCTAAGAACTTTTTAACATCAGGGCTTATACAGCAAAGAATATCCCTCCTCCTCATTTAACAGCTCCATCTCATTCTATTTAATAACTTCCCTTTGTCAAATACAAAAGTTGACTACAAGTTTGGGGTTTTTTTTAGGTCTCAAAAAACACTTCTAATGCAACCTTGCAATTAACAGGGAGACATTACACATACAAAGCATTTCAGCTTTGCAACAAGCTTAAAAAAAAAAAGAAAAGAAAAAAACAAAGGTGTTAACATTAGCTCCTTAAATACAGTAATTATTTTTTAAATAATCAAGACACAAGGAAACGTCCGAGTCCTACAGATAAGAGTCAGCAGAACTTGGTCCAACTCAAGTCATCAGAATTTTTTTTCTATCTACCGGTAGCAGTGAAGATTTTGACTTCTGTTCAAACATACCAAAAACTGTGACCTTTTACTAAGAAAAGCCACTCTCCGCCCTAATTAAATAAGTTGTCCTTTATTTTCACGTCAACCTGATATTTACTGAGAATCCTCGCTATAACCACACACTTATTCTACCCTTAAAAAAGAAAAAACCGTCCACGTCAGAAGTTCCTCGAGGGCCCAGAGGATTAACGCACCTCATCTTATACTCTGAGAAGCTGCTCTCAGACTTGCTCTATCTAATGAAATAGTCAACCTCACCCTTTAGACTTCTTTCAAAACACCAACATAAGGCATTTAGGTGTCTTCAGCTCACTTTACTCTCCATTTGGAGCACTCAGAACCGACAGAAATCCTCCAGGATATCAAACTGCATTTGTTTAAAGGTTTCACACCCACATTCACGCGCTCCACCCCCAGAGAACTCAGGACATCACACTGCATCTCAGTAATTGCTATCTTATGTCTTCACACCAACCCATCTTCACCAGCAACTACTGCTAAATGCTCAGGCTCCAGCTAGAGCAGCTGAGGTGTGAGAATGCATTCATTTGCACAAGGGCACAAAACACAAGTTTTAAACCATTACGGAAAGATTAACTGAGCTCATCACCTAGAGCCAATCCTGCAAATCAAGAGTTTAGAGACCCATAACTTGCTTTCCGTCAAAATACTGACCTCTATTTTTCCTAAGAAAACTAATGCCCGACAGACTGGTAACGTTTGTCTGTAACACCAACGGTTAAGTCTATTATTACTTTTTCTAAGGCATATTAAAGAAAATCAAATCCAAGAAGGCTTAGTATCATAAGGAACTAGATTTTTAAGCCAGTTCCTATTACAAAACTAAACCTCAACAGACTTAAAGTACTAATGAAAGATTATATAAATAGTAAAACACTGTCCGTCCGGCTTTTTAAGTTCTTACCTCCTCGTCAACAGGGAATTAGCAGCTTCTACAGAAAACTGCCGCTAGCTCTGTTATAGCTGTTCTACTTGTAGGTTTCAAGTTTCTTATATCTATTCATCTGCTTGATTGAAGTCGATGCAAAATTTATATTATTAGTATATTTTTCAATTTCAACAACACAAAAAGAGTCTGGTCACTTCTAAGTCATTATAGCCTACCTCAGGGTAAGCCTTCTCCACGTTAAAGGGGAACACGTCAACGACAACAGTCACAGGCTCTGACAACTAACGTGCGTTCTTACACTTAGCAGGCAAACAGGAAGACATCCTCAGCTTTGCCATACCTCATCCTGTGGCCTGCCACTTTCCAAATGCAAGTCTTTCTTCTGATATGAAGAAATCTCGGTCAAGATTCTTTTTGTGTTCCCAAGCAGATACATACTTTACCACTTCACCCCACGCAAGCAGCAAGAGCACACTGGCACCCCCTTTGGCCACTAATGCTTTAACCTACTTTCTCCAAGGCACCACAAGCAAATGGGGCTTCCAGACACTGGGTTCTGGTGAACACAGAATCCAATGCACCTAAGCCACATCCAAAGAGAACCACTAGGAGTCCATGCCAGCTCTCTCAGCCCTCTCAGGGGAAGACATCAAGGAAGATTTTAAACTATCCATAAACACTAGATATGTATCCACATGTACGCACACACACATGTGTGCACATGTGTGCATGTGTATAGGTTTCCTAATCCAGAGGCTTTAAAATATGTCCCCCAGTGGCATACGAACACTGACAGAAATAAAGTCATAAACCTCTTTCTTTTTTCTTACCTTATATTCTTCAATCTCTTCTTCATCAGCTTCTCCCTCATCTGGATATTTGCGTTTTGCGTTTGGTGCAGATGTATCATAAGAAGCCCTATAAACATAGACAAAAAAATCCTCATATAAACCAGTTTCTCTCTCCACAGCTAGGAAAGAACGTTTTAGAAATCTCTCCTTATCCACCTCGACCACATGTTTCTGTCAAAGAAGTCTGACATCATTTTGAGACTTCTCATATAAATTGTTTCTCTCTCAGTATACTGGAGACAAGCATACCTTCCCAAAGATGAGGCTCCTGAAAACAGCTATCTCACTTTGCTTTTCTGTTTTAAGAAGTAAAGCTTATTTTAACTGAAGCAACATACTATCCAGAGTTACTCCAAAATTAAAATAGCAACTTTGTGCTGTTTTTCCAACTGGATGTTTCTACTGTTCCACGAGAACTTTTCAACCAGAGTGAACTACCCTGCAATTGGTCTTGCCAAAGGTTATAAAGGCGCTAGGACAAAGCAGACAGCATACCCTAAATTCACTGTTCTGTTTGCGCCACAGTAACTTTTTAACAAAGGAAGCGAGAGCTGGCCTTGATTTCCAAGCTGCGTATTTGCAAAGCATTCTTAGAAGTTACTGACAAAATCCTACTCATCCTAAGCTCAGACTGGAGTGACCAAAGCATTTTCTTGCACTAAACAGCAGCTTTTCACACCAACTGTACAATTTTACTTTTCCTTTTGAAAAAGTAATCTCATCCTCTTCCTCTTTTAAAGGTTTTTATTCCTAGTAATAAAACTAAAGCCTAACAGAAACTGCACGCTGATACAGACCTGCATGTTTCTCTTGTTTCAGCAATTTCCCGCTGGTCATCTTTACTGTTCAACACAGCACCAATACTGTCTGCGTTTTCAGCTCCTAACTGAAGGAAAAGCAAAATAAGTTCAAGCCAAGATCATCCGCTACTAAAACACACAAAATCGAAAGCAAACCAACTCGCAAAGTGCCACTTTCCAAAGCTGAAACACTTTTCCACCAGCCTAGCCCTGCTGCAGGCTGGCTTACCGACCCCCGCAGAGGGCAGACACCGCATCCCCTGCCCCGCAGGCCCGCATCATCCGCCCGCACCCGAGGCTGGCGCCGGGCGGGCCCC